AGAGACATAGAGACAGAAAGCGAGAAATCACCCCCCAGGGGGGATGGTCACGCCACAATCCCTTCTCCTCCATTCTCCTCTCGGGATCTTGGGCACGCACGCACACGCGCCCGGCGTGAGTTTTAAGTCACTGGGTCCGGGACGCGAACCGCGGTTGACTACGTGGGAGTCCAGCGACATAGCCATTACGCTAACTGCTGGTTCTCAAAATTGTATATCTTTTCATAGAAACCATTTCTTTTTCTTTTTTCCTTTTTTAAATTTTTTTGGAAGGTTTTTGCCATCAGGTGCGTGTGCTTGCCAGAGACAGAGAGAGACAGTGAGAGGGAACATGAGAAATCGCCCCCCTGGGGGGATGGCCACACCGCAATCCCTTCTCCTCCACTCTCCTCCTGGGATTCTGGGTATGCATGTACACGTGACCAATGTGTGAGTTTTCAAGCCTCCCGGTCCGGAGCTCGAACCACAATTGACCACATGAACTCCTAAAGGCAATTTCTTAGGAAGCACCTTGAGACACCCTTATGAAAAAAAATTCAGCTATCATTTAAAGAAAATGTTATGGAGAACGAGCCGATCACGAAAAGAAACACGGGATTCTGGTCCAAACTCGGCATGAACTGGGACGTGCCCCGGTCGAGGCCTCGCCTGCAGTGGCCGGGCCGGCGGGCCGGCCCCTACCTTCGTGAAAATGCAGCGCCGTAGCATCTTCATGATGTAGTACGCCCAGTAGAGGTGAAGGCCCTGCAGGACCATGAGCTGCACGTTGAGGAAGACGTACGAGAAGAAGGGGTCTATGTAGTACAGCGGCAGGATGAGCGTGCAGTACAGGATCCTGCAAAACAGGCAGACCGAGGTGGACGTCACTGCAGAGCGTCTGGGCCACGTCGGGGGTGGGGACGAAAACGAGCTCTCCCAGGGCAGCCAGCCCTCGGTGTGTTTTATCTCTTTATTTTTTTTGGAGGGATTTTTGTTAAAGGGCACGTGGGCTCGCCAGACAGACAGAGACAGAGAGACTGAAAGCGAGAAATCACCCCCCAGGGGGAATGGCCACGCCGCAATCCCTTCTCCTCCATTCTCCTCTCGGGATCTTGGGCACGCACGCACACGCGCCCGGCGTGAGTTTTAAGCCGCCGGGTCCGGGACTCGAACCGCAGTCGACTACGTGGGAGTCCAGTGACATAGCCATTACGCTAACTGCTGGTCCCCAGTGTGTGTATTTTAAAGTCGGGGCCCTTTTGTTGCTTTTGTCAGAGGGTGAGTGTGCTCACTAGATCCAGAGAGAGAGAGAGAGAGAAAGCATCCCCCAGTGCGGCATGTCATGCCACAATCCTTTTTTTCCATTCCTTCCAGATTGGGGGCACACACACACGCATACCCTGGGCTGGGGTCTGAACCCCAATCGGCCACGTGGGCTATGGCTCCCTATGCATTCTGCATTACCACTGGGCCACAGAGCCAGCCAATGAGAGCCTTTCTGTTTTTTCTCAAAACGTCTGGTTTCAGTTCCTGAATAGGCTTGTTTCCAGGTATGCTATTTTAGTTACAAAAATAATTTGTTCATGCAAAGTTGGGAAAATCACTGGGACCAGCAGGTGGTGTGGTGGTTAAGGCAGTGGACTTCCACAGAGTTGGCCATGGTTCGAGGCTTAGACCCGGCAGCTTGATAATCATACCCACTGCGTGCACATGTGTGCCCAAGATCTAATTACAGCCTGAAAACTCACAGGAGAAAAGTTACGATACTACGGTTACTGTCAAGCAAAAATAAAAGTACAACCTGGGGGCCAGTAGATGGCATTACTGTTACATTGCTGGTTATGTCGCTGGACTCCCACGTAGTCGACCACAGTTCGAGTTTCAGACCGGGTGGCTTAAAGCTCACGCCGGGCGCGTGTGCGTGCATGCCCAAGACTCTGAGAGGAGAATGGAGGAGAAGGGATTGCGGCGTGGCAATTCCCTTTGTGGGGGTGATTTCTCGCTTTCTCTCTGGCAAGTGCATGTGTCCTATAGCAAAAATCCCTCTCTAAAATAAATAAATAAATAAATAAAATTACCTGCTGTCTTCTGGGAACTAAGTTAAAGCAAATGGCACAGGGGCCAGCAGTGGTTGAGTGATTAAGGTGCTGGACTTGCACATGGTTGACTGTGGTTCGAGTCCCAGACCCAGCAGCTTGAAAATCATGCTGGGTATGTACGCATGCGTGCTCAAAATTCCAGGAGGAGGACGGAGGAGAAGGGTTTGTGGCGTGGCCATCCCCCCGAGGGGTGATTTCTCACTTTCTGTCTCTCTGTCTCTGTCTGTCTCTCAGGCCAGAGGACACACCCTATAGCAAAAATCACTCTCTAAAAAAATGAAATGAAACGAAACGAAAAGGTATCATATCCCTTTTCCCTACTTCCCACCCAAAAAAAAGTTAAAAAAAAAAAAAGGAGTTGCTTTTGGGGCCAGCAGGTGGCATGGTGGTTGGGGCACTGAACTCCCATATGGCAGACCACGGTTCAAGAATCAGACCTGAGGACTTGCTTTCTCTCTTTCTGCCGAGTATGCATACCATGTAGCAAATTAAATAACAATAATAATACTAACTTTTCCCCCTTTTTTTTTTTTTTTCAGAGAGACTTTTGCTATAGGGCGTGTGTACTCGCTGGAGACACAGACAGAGAGAGAGAAAGCGAGAAATAACCCCTCAGGGGGGATGGCCATGCCACAGTCCCTTCTCCTCCATTCTCTCCTGGGACTTGGGCACGCACACACACACGCCCGTTGTGAGTTTCAAGTCACCAGATCCAGGACTTGAACGGTGGTCAGCCATACGGGAGTCCACTGACTTAACTATTTCGCCACCTGCTGGCCCTGATAATACATTTTAAAAAATTAAATTAATAATCCTTTATTTGAATAATAATAAAAAAGAGAGTGGCTGCTTCGCAGGAGAAGGGAAAGCAAACACCCAGAGTTGTGTTTTTGTAATGAAAATGGAAAAATAAGATATTTATTTTATTGTTCTTGGTAATTGCAGGCGTGAGCATTAAGCCCTTTATAGTAACAAGTACGAGTTCTACAAGTGAACAGTCGCCTCCCTCAGAGATGGTTTAGATTTAGAAATGACGGGACCAGCAGTTAGCGTAATGTCTATGTCGCTGGACTCCCACGTAGTTGACCGTGGTTCGCATCCCGGACCCGGTGGCTTAAACTCACGCTAGGTGCGTGTGCGTGCGTGCCCAAGATCCCGAGAGGAGAATGGAGGAGAAGGGACTGCGGCGTGGCCATCCCCCCTGGGGGGTGATTTCTCGCTTTCTGTCTCTCTCTCTCTCTCTGGTGAGCGCATGCTCCCTATAGCGAAAACCTCTCAAAAAAGAAAAAAAAAAAGCAGCGACGGTGCAATTGAAGAAAACATCACAAATCCTTGGTGAAGGCAAACGTACACCCTAATCACCCAGTTTAGTCACTGCGTTTCAAACGTTCTGGTGGGCCTCCCTGTCCTGTCTCCTGTCTTGGTTGGTTCTTTCCTAGGGAGCTGTGTGATCCTAGAAGGGCCTTCCCTGCTCATCTGAAGCACACACCGGATCCCCACGTTTCGACAATGTCCATGTCATGATCCATAGGGAAGAAGTCCAGATGGATGGAGGTGACTGCATGCAGTTTGTGTTGGGGGCTGGGGGCACGGGGGGGAGGGGAAAAGCAATCGAAGAAAGCATTGGGTC